TTAGAAGGATATGAATAAATGAAGATACCAACTGGGTAATCTTAAGAAGTAATAAACTAAAAAAATAGAGTTAGCACATTCATCATAAATGAAATTACTGTTAATCTTATTGTGCTTAGTTCATTCATGATAAACATAATTAGAACTAGTATCAATAATGCTTTGATTACTACAAAGAACAATAAAGGGATTATAATGAGAAACTTACATATTATAAACTAGTCATCAAAACCAAAGTAACCACTTATTGTGTCTACAAGGGCAATGGAATATCCAGATCATTTTTTTAGAGTGGCCAAACTTAATATAAAAAATAAAAATAAAACATTATATATATATATATATATATATATATATATATATATATATATTTCATTAGTAAAATTCTAAGAAAAGTCTTGTAATCCATTATAATTTATGAAATAAAAAAAGAAAATTACAAACTTTGTATTCTACTTTGTATTTTCTGATAATATTGTATAATGACTTCATTTGGAACAGAATCAAATATTTTTTTCTCTATTTATGGCACTAGATAGTCGTTGAGTCAAGCATCACCCATTTTGCTATGCAGCCGATGTTTAATAATCTTCATTGTAGAAAATACTCTCTCCACCATAGTAGTAGCAACTAGTAAAGTCAGTATCAAAATAATATGTCTATAAACCATGGGATACACAATAATTTTTTGTCATTTATAATCTATTTTGCAAGAATAACAATGCTAGTCAACGATGTAAACTCATCGCTCATGCACATATCAATAATATAAGTATATAGTTGATGTTCAAGAGATACAAGATCAACCATAGAAAAATTTGCTGGATATAACTCTGCAATACGAATTAACTTTCTCTTATCATAAACCTAGAACATATTACTCAGATTTAGACATGTCACATTTGGTACTCGTTTCAAAAAATCGGTTATTTAGTTCCTAGTGTTGCATATCAATAACAAAATAGAATAAATCAACTCGATAATGATGAAAATTTATTATTTCTTCACATTTCATACTAATTGTCAACAAGCCTTGAATTTAGAATTCATATTTGGAACTTCAATTTCAAAAACATTACAAAATCATGACACTTCTTCATGTAAAGGCACCCATTCATTTCCCCTCATCATCTACAATCATTGCTTGGACACTTATACCAATGTTATTGTATTTATAATATCTTGATCCTTTCTTAATAAGGCTTGTTAAATTTTTTTTCAATCAAGAAATTCTTCAAATCATTTTGAGTTAAATATACGTGTAATATTCCTATCATTGTTTAAGGGAAATGATGATTTTTTGGTTGATGCTGACCCTTCAATAAATAATCTCTACAAACTTTATCACGCTCATTCACATCATAACTCCAAATTGATGGTTTAAGATCAGGGCTAGCAGGGAGAATGTTAATATCAATCTCGACACATTTTTTTGGCTTCAAAAATTGTTCAATTTTTCAAAAGCCTAATAAAAAAGTACAACAAACATCTCAAAACTTAAGGTGAGCTCATGCACAATCTAATTATTTAATATAAGAGAAGTTAATGTAAGAGAATATCTTTCTATTTTTTAAGTCAACTAATTTGATATAGGTGGTAATACTGGAATATAAGTGCTGAAAAAATTGTGGATTGTTCATGAACTCTTTGTTTCTGAGGTGTTGCATTTTATTACCATTTATAAAAGCAGTGGAAATTAAATTATTATTTTCTAACGATATTTTTTATCTACAACTAAATAATCACAAGCTATTTTCACAAAATAGGAATCCCGTAAAGATCATCTATTTAATGGTAATTTTAGTATTTGAAGAAATGATCTATAGAAATCAGGAATTTGGACCTGTTCTTGCTGGACAAAATATTCATGATAAATTTATTAAAGGAGACTCTGTTAGGAATTCACTTCGATGATTAAATTTGCATAAAATCATGTCATATATTTAAATTTGGGCATTATCATGAAACAAAAATTTTCATACAAATAGCATATAAATCCAAAGGCTTGAAGGATTTACTTAGGGATAATTTTCATAGAAAATTGTGTGTTGTGTGTCAATATACTTCAATTATTTACAACCAAACAATCTGATAAAAGTATCCATGATCAGGAACTTTTATTACGTCCTCTGACCGGACGTAGATCTACGTTCGGTCAGAGGTTTGTTACTCGATTTTTGCCCGGTATTTGGTCAGTATTGCTAGGTATTGTTTGATAATAACGAGGAATACCACTCTGGGAAGATCAATACCGAGTAATACCGAGCAATACCGAGCAATACCGAGTATTACCAAAAAATACCGAGTTTTCTAGAAAAAACTCAGTATTTTTTTGTAATACTCGGTATTGCTCGGTATTGCTCGGTATTACTCGGTATTTTATCTTCACATAATGATATTTCTCGTTGTTATTGGTATTGCTCGGTATTTCTCGTTTTGTGCCTGTGATCTTAGTGCCAGCCGGACGTAGCTCTACGTACGTTCACCGGACCAAATAAAAGTTCCATGATCAGAGAAGAGGATGTCCTTAGAATATGGGAGAACTGAGTATTCCTTCTTCATAAACACTTCTTTGAAGTAGTCAGTATATAATTAATTACTATGTCGAAAGAACTTTAAGAAAAAAATATTTTAGCCAATCAATTGCAATAATCATTACCAGAGAGCTATCAGGTAGCGATTGAATGTAGCTGTCATCCCATAAGCTTGGCTGGTAATTTGCACTTCTTCGTGAAGGAGGTGAGGATGGAAGGTCTCCTTCCATGGTTGCAGAGAAAGCTTGTTCTGTAGCAGCTATTTCCTAGGCTAAAATAGAAGAAGTAATAATGACTTGTTCAAAATCTGCTTCCACGTTATTATCGTAGCAAATTTTTTATAGAAATCTTTATGCAGAAGTGCTTTTCAGTCAGAGTTTTTCTGATGTTATGTCTATAAAGCTGGACTTATTAATATAAAAAATTTCTTATGGAAATGTTCGTTATAATTTTTACATAACCAGAGCTTCAAATTTTATCTCATCGGCCGGCCGTTTAGTAAATTTTTTAAATGAGAATTATTAAAAATCAAACATAAAGGGAATTAGGAACAACCCATAAAAATCGACGATCAAACCACTATAACCTTTTCCATAAAGCTCATCAAAATTAATGATCTGATTTAGGCTTCGCATGGGACAACTTTAAGTCACTTCTTTTTTTGTGGCTTTCATAAAATTTTTATATTAGAAAACTGTTTTAAAAAGAGTAAGTAAGTTATCCCAAATGAAGCCTTAGGTTTTATTTGGGGCGACTTTCTTCCTGCTTCTTAAAGTAGCTTTCTAATACAAAAATTATATTTTTGCATTAAAAAGCTGCTTTAAGAAACATAATGCAAGCCGTCCGAAATAAAGCCTTAGTAAAAACAAAATCATCATTTTTAAAATATGTAATGTTTTTAGAGGCAGACAAGTGAGCCTTTGTCCCATGATTTGTCATTTGAGAAGGAAATAAGGAACATATTTGTATTTTTTGAATGATTCTTGCATGGAATCAAGTATAAGAATAATTATGGGTGGCAGGCCTGTGTTAATTAAAAGTTTTATTTGTTCTACTCCTATTTATCTTTTTCAAATTATTAGCCTCTTTTTGGATGTTTGTAATAGATTGAATAGAATTATTAATTGATTCTTCTGAGGTTCCTCTCAAGATAATAAAAAGATTTTTTGGAGAGCTTGGAATTCTGGGGTTCCGGCCTCTCAAGATAATAAAGCAAAGAGTCGCCTTTAGTTCCATATTCTTACTATACAACTTTTTTTTTTTACGATTTTAATTAATTTTTTTATTTTGTTAATTTTATTAATTTTGTATAATAATAATAGTATTTATTACATCATCTGGTTCAACCGGTCGAACCGTAAATCTCTCCTTACGGTTCGTTGTCCGGTCCGATTTTCAGAGCCTTGGGGTGGTGTGGGAAGAAAATCCACTATGGATATGCTTAAATATTTTTTATTAAACTTTGGTTGAAGTTTCGCTCTAACAATTCTTTATCAGCTTTTCATGAATCTTAAATATTGCAAGGATATTCACCCCTCTCATTATTTTTTAAGAAAGGTTAATCTCCTATTTGTCTTAGGCTTTGTAAGTCCAAATGGTAAGCTAAACAATGCATTCAATGGCATATTAGGTATAATTTTTCTTACTTTTAGCAAGATGATTGGATGAGGAATGGCTCTCTTTATTCTATTTTTAATACTCATTTTTTATCCAACTTGAAATTTTTTGGTTTTATTTTGAATGAGAATTATTAATATTGGCATTCTCCTCCCTAAATATCCAACCATTCTTTCTATCCTAAATTTTTGAAGAATTTGGATAACTGCATTTATTGTAGATGGATAAAATAATTAAAATGCTTATTTTTCTAAGAAAAAATCAAGATTGGTAGTTGGTTACCCTGAGCTCTTCCTAATTCCGCCCCTATTAAGGGTATCCCAATATTGGCAATTAAAGTTAATTTTTTAGTTGATTAAGATTAAATTTAAATAATTTGAGGTTGAGTCCATTCCACCTTACTTTTAAAATTGAACTCTTGTCATTAATAGTAATTATATAGAAGATTTGGAATAATATTCTTAAAAGGCTCATACATTCACATCTTTAATTCTATAAAAAAATTTATTCATGAATATTTTGAATATGAATCTATCAAATTTTCAAAAAAATGACATAATTACTAACAATAGCTACTAGATGCAACTTTCTTTGATCTATTAGTTGAATCTTTAACTACCAACCAAGAGGTCTTGAGTTTGAAACTTATTAATCTGATACGTGTGAATTGCCTTAATTGACTTAAATGTCCCAAAAAAATAATAGTGGCTAGGAATGCTCGCGATTATTCACAACGTAGATGATTTTTATTTTTTATTTTTCAAAATTTATAGAACTGAGAACTTTTAATAAATTACAACTCCACATAATTTTAAATCATATTAGCTACTTATAAGTTGCAAACAAAAATATTTGATATAATGCATCAGCATAGAAAAAAGTAAAAACAAAAAACAAGTAAAAAACCTCATCATACAATGCATTCCCTTAGGAAAGCTCAAAAAACATCCCAACACAACCTCAGATCATAAGCCTTTCAAGGTATAAAAATTTCTCAAAAACTATCTAGCAATGCAGAGAAAGAAGAAAGGTTATTCTACAAACTTACATGCCTTTCTTCCATGATTTACAAAGTCTCTGGCCATTAGTTGAGTAAAAGAAAAACCTTAGAAAAACCAGAATCAGTAGTTCTCCTGTGTCCTTGGTCTCATGCAGCCACAGAAAAAGTCTCTTTTCCTCCCCTTCCTGCCCTTTCTTCCATAGAGGTAGTCCCTCAATAACACTCTAGGAGTCCTATCACCCCCTTCTCTGGAGGGATAGTTCTCCCACTCTTCTTGGAGCTTGAGAAATATATAATCGAGCTTCTGCAACTCCAACTCCAACATCCCAATCCTATCGGAAGCGTTTCGAGCATGTTCCAATATTTGGCTTCTCTCGGGTCGCCCCGTTTCTTCGCCATTATAGGAATCTGAATAAGACTTGACCATCATTGTCAGCTTATCATTTCTATCAACAAGATCAGAAATTGCTACTTCGGCGTCTTTCAATTTCGCCCAGATGGCATCAAACTGCACCCGATTCTGCTGCGCATTTGTGCTAGACTTCTCCATCTTCAGCTTCAGTTCTTGAGCGCTGGACTCAAGAGAAGAGAGCTTTTCAGCATCAAAAGCAAGCCTTTTGATGACCCTCCTGTTCCACTCTTCTTGGGATTCTTTAATCTCTTTGGATATTTCCATTTTATAAACACCAAAATCTTTCCCAGTTACAAGCACTGGTGAAGGCCTCTCACTCTTCACTTCCTCTACTGCCTCAATGCCATGATCAGTAGACGCCCTGTTGCTTTGGTCGGTATCGGTGCCGGCTTCCCATGAATTGGGCATTTGATCGTTCGATTCTGCGCCCTGGATCCTACTAGCACCAAATGAACTCGATACTTGATCAAGTTCGATATCTTTCACCGTATTCGATGTTTCTTTCCCTTGATTTACTTCCCTGGTAGAGCTCTCCTTTAGCTTTAACTCTTCAATTTCTCTTCTTGCAGACTCTAACGTGGCAGCAGATTGGAGTCTTTCGTGATCAAGGTGACCTTTGGTACCTACTACCAAGTTTTTAAGTGCCCCAACTTTGGCAATCATGTTCTGCATCTCTAAAACTCCTGACATGGTGGAATGATCATGATCACCAGTGCTTGTTTCATGGTTCTCCTTATGATCAGATGAAGAATTCTCCTGAAGAAAAGAAAGGATTCAAGTGGAGAAAAGTGAAAAGGATAAGAAGCATACTTTTTTTTCTTTTTGTTTGGGAGTTATAAAAAAGAGAAGAAAAGTATTCATTCCATTTTTTTGACTGGAAGTAAAGATAAAAGAAAGGAAAAGTGCTTCTATAATTAATTTGACACATATCTCCTTTTAGAATCAAGAGCTTCAAAATATTACACATGATTAATTATTAATTCCGATAAATTAACATTCTAATTACTATTTTTTACTAATTATTTCAAATAATTAACATGTTATTTAAGATTTAGTTATCTTACCAAGTAATTAAAATACCCACAATAATTTCCAAAAAACTAAACTTTTTCCACAACAAATTTACAACCACAAGAAATGCAGCCGTCCCAAATGGATCCTAAATCTTACTCTAATTTAGATAACCTATTAGTACATAGAAACTTTTTCTATGCCGCTCATTTTCTCCACTAAATATTAATTAACCAATTTTAAGGCTTCGTTTGGGCGGCTTTTTTATTGCTTCTTAAATCAGTTTCCTAATACAAAAAATAAAATTTTTGTACTACGAGACTTTAAGAAACAAAAATTTCATAAAGTTTACCTGATCTCGATCGAATTCTTCTAGTTGACATACATGCTTCTCCACATCTGAAATGCCATTCCCTAAAGAAAAAAAGAGAGGACTAAGCACTTTCAGGTTGGTTCTGAGCTTTCCATTCTCATCTTCAAAATCTTCAAGCTTCTTTTTCAACTCAACTGCTTGTGTATTTTTTAAGATAATCTCCTCTTTCAGAGCCTCTCTCAGCACCATAGCAGACATGTCAAGACTCTCGCATCGCGAAGCCAACTCGAACATGTTCTCATCAAGCACTGTTGCATTAACTACAGAAGCTTGAACCTCGCTGAATAAGTTCATGATTTCTAATTCACACCGATCAACCTCTTCTTTTTCTTCTATCAGCTCATTAGAAAGACTTTGTTCCCTCAATCTAAGTGCTTCAACTTCAAATTTAAACCTATTTAATTCCTCATGAAGAGATCTATTTTCTCCTTCAAAATTAGTAATCTGCTTATCTTTACAGGCAGTACCCTCTAATAAATTTTCAATTCTATTCTCTAAATCGGATCTCATGATTTTGGCCTCATCTACTTCCTTATTGGAGACCTCAATATTTCTGCATAATTCAGTAACCTCCCCTTGTTTAGACTGAAGAATATCATTCAAGTTTGACAGCTCCATGCTTTTCTGCTTCAACAAATTCTCCCCATCTTCAACTTGAAGGATCAGATCTTCATAGAAACTATAGACACAGTCCAAATCAAATTCCGAAATTGTATTTCGACATTTCAAATCTTCCAACAAGATGAGAGATTCCTTGAGCTGCTTGTTTTCATGTTCAATAGCTTTCACTCTCGATTTACTTCCTCTGATCTCTTCATCAAGGCCATTCTTGACATTAAGAAGAGAGCACATGTCACCACTAAGCAACTTCAACTGTTGCATGTTTTCTGCATTTAGGTTCCTAAAGAACAAGTAGAGATTCTCCAGTGTCATAGCATCTACACACATTAAACAGTTTTCCTCTTCCAAAGCATTCCTTTCTTCTATCAAGTTGTAACATTTCTCCCATGAATCAATTAATTTTCTAGCGAAGGATTCTAATTCAGCTTTTAAAATTATGTTTGTAAACTCTGTGGCGCTCATGTCATGAAAAAGTTGTTCGTATTCCCCAAAGAGCTGACGGTGCTCCTCTTCCAAAAAATGTGATTGCTTGTTTATTTTTTCAAGCTCCTGACTTAAAAGAACTTTTTCCAGTCCAGTTTGCTTTAGAATGCTGAGGTAAACCGATATCTCCATACAAAAAAGTTGATTTTCATCACGGATATCGGAAATGGAAGCCAGTAGAGTCTTAATCTCTCCCAGAATAGCTGGAAGAATGACAACTTCACTTCCCTCAATGTTCATCAGCTCCTTGTTGATATTAAGCGGTTTGAGCAGAAGTTGGATACCATCCCTGACCTTAGATATATGCTCCCTTAATAGAGTGATGTTTTCCTTCTGAACTAATTCTCTGTCTTCGAGCTGTTTGATTAGCTTAGCAGCACATTTAGAGGCCTCTAGATGCTTCTGACACTCCTGCAAGAGAGTGAAATTCTCCTCTTTCATTTCAGACAAGCATCTCTGCAAGATGACAATCTCAAGCATAGAGTTCATGGATTTTTGCTCTTCTTCCTCAATTTTAATATCTCTGACTTTCCTTTCATCTTGCAGAAGATGGATATGGCTTTCTAAAGCAGCCAGTTGAATCTCAATCGACTGGATAAGGGACTTGTGCTTCTGCTTTTCAATTATTGAGGAATTTGACATGTCACAAAGACATCTCTGTAAAATAAAAATCTCAGTCATATGAGACAAGCATCTTTGTTGCTCTGCCTCTAACTCCTCCTCCTTGAGCTGCTTATCTTCTTGCAGGAGATGAAGATGGTTTTCCAAGGTGTTCAAGTTCATATTCTTTGAGTGGATAAGCGATTCATGCTCTTTCTGCATAACACTCAATGAGCCTTCAAGATTCAAAATTTTGTTAACAGATAGATCTTTTTCCTTCACTAGATCTAAGTGTTTGCCTTCCAATGCAGCATGTGTAGTCTCCAGATTTATAAGACTCTGCTGAATGCTCTCTAACTGAAATTTCAAACCATTAGAAATGAGTAATCATTTAGTGAATAGGATAACTATCATATTATTAACATAAGATTACTTAAACAGAACAGATAATGCGCTGATGCAAGCTTACTTTACATGTGCCAGAATAAACCAGTTACATTAATAATGTATCATAAAGAACAAGGTGTCTTATTGTCTTCGGCCGAAGGGATTTTTTTTTTTTTTTCATATTCTATTTTAAGAGAAAAACCCAGTTTCTGGAAGCAAGAAAGTAGTCAAAGGATGAAGTGCTATGAAACAATGAGAAATACAATGCTTGAAAGGAGTACAAGTGTCACAATTAAAGGCAAAAGAATGGTGAGATGCAAGATCCATTACTAAGTCATAGATATCACACTTAAAAATCATAAAGCTTCAAGAAGGAAGGGCAAGCAAAAAGGCCAAACCTGAGAGATCAGATTATTCTTTTGGGCAATGAGATCTGAATTTGCATGAGAGAGAGATTGAAATGACTCTTCCAAGTCCCTTAATTTTAAGCGCAAACCTTCGAGTTCAGTATTTGCATCATCAAGAGAGTTCTCCAATAACGTATTTTTTTCGGAAAGTTTCTCCACATTCCCTGCAAGAGTCTCTATCTGAAAGGCTAGAGCAGTCTTTTCACTAACATGAGTGGAAACTGCAGCATTTAGTGACTCGCACGAACCTTCTAGAACTACAATTTTCTCTCTAAACTCCTCAAGCTCCACATTTGCATCAGATAAAGAGTTCTCCAAGGCTGAATTCCTCTCAGAAACCGAATCCATATCCTTCAATTTATTGAGAAATTGCAGCTTCTCGTATTCAAGCTTACTGCAACATTCTTTCAGTTCAGTATGACCATATTGCAGATCCTTCACTTGTGTCTCTAGGGATTCAATATGTAAGCTGGCTGCTTCCATTTCTTTTGTTAGACTTTGATGATTCAATTCAATCACATTTTTGTCTTCCTTCAGAGACTCAAACTCTTGCTGAAGAATTTTCTTGTTCTCTGCCTGGATTTCAATTTCATCTTCTAGTTTACCATTTATTTCCTTCAAGGAAACTATCTCATCTTCCAAGTGCTTCATCTTCAAAGCACATGCCAAGTTGTGTTCATTTAGAGTAGAATTCATATCTTTAAGTTGGGAAACCTCTTCCTCTAAACCCACTTTATTATGTCCAACTTCCCTCAGTTTCTCAAGAAGACTTTGAATTTCCAATGTCATTCGCATAACCTTTTCATTAGACTGGTTATACAGCTGTTCCTTCAATTGGAGAGACATTTCAGCCTCCTCACGCTTCTGTTCACTCTGATTTATAGAAAGTCTGAGTTCTTCCAACTCTATTTTTGCTGCTTCAAGTTCTAATTGTAGACTCTGATTTGCTTTCTCCAATGCAAGACATCGTTGTTCTGCACCATTCAACTTCAAGACTGCCATCTCCATTTCCTCATTGAGCTTCTTAATTTCATTTTTCAATTTAGAGATTTCAATCTCCAAACTAGATATATTTTCATGAGATAACTGCTGCTGCAGAAGAGCAGCATCCTTCTCAGATTCTAATTTTGACATCTCATTTCTCAAATTCTGAACTTCACCCCTGGATAAATCCAAATTCTTGGATTCTAACTCTATTTGAGCCTTAAGCTTCTGGTTCTCATTTGAAAACTGAGAAACTTGTTCTTGCAGATGTTTTACTCCATATGTGACGTTCTCTTTCTGCATGAGTTCTGGCTGTAAATGGCTTTTAGAATCAATAAAAACTTTTGCATTTGGGCCATCTTCTTCATCCTCCTCAAAATTAAGACTTCTCCTAACCTTCCCTTCGGGTAATCTCACACGAGCTGTTATTTCATCCTCATGAACATTAAGATCTTTCATATCATCACCTTCAGGTAATTTCACACGTGCTACCCCCTCTCGATTGATAATATGCTTTAACCCTTTCTTGGTTGCGAAGGTTTCATTTTCTTCAGGTGGCGCACTCCTATCAAAAGCATTAAAAGGTGTTGGATTACCAAATGCAACCTTCTGCAAATCATCAGTACCAAACATCGCTCGCCTAGGTGAAGGCGATTCTGGAGTGTTATTGGAGAGAGATTCATCAGGCAGTGCAAGTGGAATGTGATTGGGAAAAGCTTCAGACATTGTTCGATGAGCATGGCGGAGAGCCCCAGTTGCATGGTCATATCTTTCAGCCAAAGCTCGGTATGCTCGGTAGAACTCCTCCACCAGTTTCATAAGCTCAGGTCGTTTCTTGTAGTACATCTCAGCCCTCCTCGCAAAGGAGTCAGCATCTTCCTCTATTAGCTTGATCATTGCTTTAACTTTCATGTCCATATCTGTTCAGGAAAATCAACCCATTAGAATTGTGAACAGGATAAATTGATAACCAACAAAAAGATTAATAAGCACATTGATTTCAAAGGAATTATAAGTGTTCTTTAACTATTACTCAAAGCATTTAAAAAAAGTCCCACAGTTTAGAACATGGATTAATATTTGAACCTACATAAATGGTTTGGTTGCCTTCATTACCTAGAAGTCAAAAGTTTGATCACAAAAAATAGATTCTTTGTGATAAAAGATTGGGGCTAAATACATACAACCTTGCCATTTACAGAAGCTTTATAAATTGTATTGCCAATGAAAAATATGAAATGAATTAAGCAACATAAGTCTGAATCATAGAAACAAATGCTCTATATGGTGAAAGCTAAGATCCCTGCATTCAAAGGAGATGTCTTGTTTTAATATGTAGGATACATGTTAATCATATGATGCACCTACATGTGCATATGTTGTAAAACAAAAGTATAAATATGATTGAATCCATGTGTATTCAAATGTAGCAAGTGTACCTCATGGATATATATAACAATAACATAAAGCCTTTATCTAGCTATGTGGGGTAAGCTACATGAATCTTTTTTCTTCATTGTGTTAAGAGTCAAATTTTCATTTAAATCTAATAAAATAGTCATTTCTAATATTTTCTAACCAAGTCATTTTAGGTCTACCTCTACCTTTCTTAATATAGGTCAAATCTAATATATATACTCTCCTAACCGGCTCATCGGAAAACCAACTTTTATATGACGAAACCATCAAAAGAAACTCCCTCTAAACTTATTTGCCACTGGAGCTACTTCAACCTTTTCACGATACTCATTTCGCATTCTGTCTCTACGAGTGAGCCACAAATCCACATGAACATACTCATCTCTCAGAACTTAACTTAATTGCATGGTTGTCTTTTAATGGCCAACATTCTGCGCCATAAAAGCATTACAAGTCTCACCACCATCTTATAAAATTTTTCCTTAAATTTGAGGGCTACCCTTTTTATCACATAACAGACCCGATGCATTCCTCCACTTCAACCATCAAACTTAGAATTCTACTAATAATATCACCATCTATTTCACCATCACTTTGAACAATAGACCAAACATATCTAAAATGGGTACTCTTATTAATGACTTGACCATCCAAAGTCACAACCTCACCCCCCCCCCCCAACCCCCCCCCCCCCCCCCAAACCAAAAAAAAAACAATAGATCGATTACTACTAAAATTACAGTCCATGTATTTGATTCTAGATCTGTTCAAACCAACAATTTTAGACTCTAAGGTTGACCTCCATAGTTCAAATTTATCTTCAACTCCCTCTCTAGTCTTTTCAAGAAGAATAATATCATCAGAAAAAAGCATACACCACGGTACATTCTCTTGCAAATGTCTAGTAAGAACAACTCGTGGATATACGAAATTTAAAAATATACTTTGCAACACCCCCATGGATATGAGGCATTTAAAATCTTATTTATTGTATTTAAAGAAAACGGTATTCACATATTAGAAATTTTTTCATTCTTTTTCTTTCAGTTTCAGTCATTTTCTTGGATGAAGAGAAAAGCAAGCAAAAGAGAATTAAAGATGAACATGTTGATGATATTTCAGTATTTTCTTCCTATATATAATAATAGGTTATGGGTAAATTTCTCGTAAGGAAACCAATCCCATAGAGACAACCACAACTTACACAGATTAATCATCAACATTTTGACAGATGCAACCAATTATAAGTATTAAGTAGAGGTTAATTTGCTTTATAGATTTAGCATTACAGCCTATAACAGGATTGTCATCCAAAAGCTGAGAAAAGATACAAAAAATATATTATTTCTTTAATTTTGAGACAAGATAACGCTAATGTCACTCTTACTAATCAAGTTTTAAAATTAATTTTTTAATAGAAATCCACACTGACTCACTAGTCAAGGAACTTGATTCCTTTACTGCACATATCTTTATTGGAAGCTACATACATAACTGAACAGCAAATGGAATGCACCACATGGAAAATCTAATATAATATCCAACTTTTTTGTTTCTATTGGATATGCAAATCGGTTGTACAAAATTAAATTGTAGGAACATACAAACAAACATTGGATTCAATTTCAACACCCATCTTGAGGTGCTCAGGCTTTATAGCTTGAAGGCAAGCATATCAAAATTAAAAATCAAACAAATAGAAATGTTACAAAGAAATTTTTGAAATCTTTACAGCCCCAGCTTTGAGGAATATTAGCAATAATATGCCCCACTCAGTTATGTTCTCACTTAAAACAATATTTCTAAAAGTTCCTGAATGTTCCGTATAAATGTTAAGAATTAAATCATTCTCGTTAGGAAACTATTATTTGAGGATATTAGGTAGATAGAGAGGATCACTGAAAATGATAATGGCCCAAAGATTCTGCAGTTGTAAGTTTCAAGATAGATGGATAGACAGGTGTGCTTGCAAGCGTGCAGAAAATAATAAAAAAAACAGAAATCAACAGAGGCTAATGGTCAAAAAATAAGCAATCACAGAAATAAACAATGAACAATGAGATAATATTGAATCAATAAACAGAGAGATAATGCAAGAACAATTTTTAAAAGAAGAACCTCATTCGAAAATAAGAATTAGAAATTACAAGAAGTTTTCTCTCAGCGCTTGGCATTCAGCTTTTTTGGGAAATCTGTAAGAACCTCCCTAAAGTTTGTTTTCCCTATGAAAATGGATGATTCTTTTATGTTTGATGAGCAAGCGCAGCTAATTATGGTTTTTTCTAAAAACAAGGACAAACAGGACTCATCATCAACATTGTTAGTCTATCTCAGATAAAAACAATTAAAATTAATAATTTTAACAATACTTTAATCATTTTCCTAATTAACTCCATCCTCATCCCTCATCCATGCATCCCTTCCACCACCATGTCACCCTTTTAGTTGTCTAGAGTTATTAGTGTAGCAAGCTTGTATTGAAAACAAGGGAGAGATCTCTTTAGTAAAGCTAAACTCTCACAATTTTAGGCATCTTGCCATGTATTGGTAAAAGTTTTATTCGAACTCCAAAGTTAAACACGCTAATGCTAAAGCACTCTAAAATGGTGAACTAATTAGAAGTTCAATCAAGAGACAAGTAATCAAAATAATATCCAAATTGGTGAGACCCCAAATTGTTACCAATAGTATTAGACCAATACAAAAGTTGAAAAGTAAAAACTAAGTGTCTTATGGAATAAAGTGCAACATCATAGGAGCCATCGCTCAGACTATTCAAGACAAAATGTTACATGGAGAGGGCCAAATCAGGACCCTGTAAGAGCCACCTCTAAAATTATATTTGTGTTGTGTTTCAAATCAATGATAATGATGTCATTTACTCAAGTGGGGAAGATTATGAGACCTTTTGAAGTATGATAAGCTAAACTCTTAAACTTCAATGTGCATTTGCATATAATTATCAAAGTTTCATCAAGAACAATAAAGTTGTGCTCATGCTCATGATAAGCCAAAGTGGAAATATTGATGGTTAAGAGTTCAAAATGCTAAAACAAGCTCGCCACAAAGCATGAGATCCATGGCAACAAAAAATGATGCAAGATAGCAAATGAGATTTTATGCAAGGTATCTCATGGTCAAGATCTTGTGAATCCATGCTTCTTTTTTATAAGAATTCCCGATAAGCTACTGTGGCTATAAAGCAAATGGCTCACAGCTCCACTTCCTCTGCCACATTCGTTTACTACTGATGAGGACATCGACAGACGCTACCGACATGTTTATTGCCGGCGAAACCGCAGATCGACGGCCACGATTCAGCGCCTCTACTTTTTATTTTGATGTCATGATGTATTATTTAGTATTTGCGGTTTTTCCATTTTTACCCCTGTGGGGAGTTGCTTTGTTATTGTAGCCCAAAGGGCAATTTCGTACTTTCTTTTTTTTTTTTATGAGTTTGAGGCCTATATATAGTGGTCTCATGTGTTGGATGATGGTCAATGAATATTTGAATAAAAATTTTGCTATTTGTCTTCTTCTTCTTGCATGAGAGCTAGTGAAGGGAGAGAGCTCAGGAGGAGCAACCGCAAGGCCCACCAGTCGTTGGATAAGTCCGCGGCTCGTGGTTAAGTTCGTAGCCATCCTAATTGTGTTTCCATCATCTTCATACAAATCCAAATTCCCCCTCCGTTCAGCCAAAATCCGAGGCCCAACGTCATCCCTCGCCAAATCCAAGGGGCCAAGCCGCCGGCCTTCCTCTTAGCCGCCGACCACATCCCTCCACCACCTCCTCCCAAGCTCCACCGTCGGCCATCTCTCTCATCAACCACCTTTCTTTTCAAATTTCGAAAATTCAAATTTGAATGAGCTCCAAAATTTCCATAATTGCCAAAGTCCAAATAAGGAAAGAATTGAATTGAATCCAATTCCAATTTCATGACATGAGGAGTTACTAATTCTCATCCTAGGTGGCATCCTCCTAATTGGAAATTGCTTTATCCTCACTAATCTCCCTCCTCTCCTCTCTACATGCCGCCGGCCTCATCAAGGGGGAAATTCATTTAATGCTAGTTTAATGCCATCAATGCCTTGATCCAAAATTCAAATTTCAAAATAACTCCCTTTAATTTCATTCATAATCTGAAATCAATTTCAGATTATGAAATCAATTTCAGATTATGAAATAAAACTCCCTCCCCCTTCTAGAACCCGCCGGCCCCCTCTCATGGGTTCTCCCCATTAACTCCCCAATTAAGGCTTTAATTACAATTGATTTGAAATTCAAATTTAAAATCAATTCCCTCCTAAATTACTCAAAACTGAAATTAAATTTTAGATTTGATTAATCTCTCCCATAATTTCCTAAACCTATTTTCTCCAAACCCTAGCTCTTCCACTTGCACCCGCCGGCTTCACCCTCTCCCCTTGAGAATCTCGCCAACCCCTCCCCTTTTCTCTCCATTTCTCGTGCATTGAGAAGCCTAGAGACGAAGAGGACGAC